AATAAATAAATAAATATAATGAAAAATATAAAATGTGTTGTTGTTGGTGATGGGTAAGTTCCTTTTTAATAATATATCTTGTTATTATTGTTATTGTTGTTGTTGTTATTGTTGTTGTTATCGTTATTATTAAAATAGCAATTTTTTGTTCAGTTAAATAATAAAAAGGATTTTTTTTTAAAAAAAATATAGTGCTGTTGGTAAAACTTGTTTATTAATTAGTTATGCAACAAATGCATTTCCGGGTGAATATATTCCAACTGTGTAAGTAGTAGTAAAGTATTTATTTTGGTTTATTAAAATGATAACTTATCGACTCTGTTTTTTTTTAAATAGTTTTGATAATTACTCAGCTAATATCACAGTTGATGGAAGGCCAATAAATCTTGCACTTTGGGATACAGCCGGACAAGAAGATTACGATAGATTAAGGCCGCTTTCATATCCACAAACTGATGTCTTCCTGATTTGTTTTTCAATAGTTAGTCAATCATCCTTTGAAAATGTTAGAACCAAGGTAAAAATACATGCAACATATATATATATATATATATTATTTACTTGCTTTCTTACTTGCCTACTTTCTTCTATCCTAACTCGATTACTTTGAATAATTTCAAGTGGTATCCGGAAATATCTCACCATTGTCCTGGAGTACCAATAATTTTAGTTGGTACAAAACTTGATTTACGCGAAGACAAAGATACTCTGTTGAAGTTAAGACAAAAAAAAATCAATCACCGTTAACTTATCCACAAGGTTTGCAATTAGCAAAAGATATAGATGCAGTGAGATACATGGAATGTAGCGCTTTAACTCAAAAAGGACTAAAAACTATTTTTGATGAAGCAATACAGGCAATCTTAAGACCTCCACCTGTTAAAAAGAAAAAGTCAAAATGTATTATTACTTAAAAAATTCCTTTATCTGTTTTGTTTGTTTATTTATTTATTTATTTATTTATAGATAAAAATTAATAATAATAGTAGTTAGTTAATGGTAATTTAATATTAATATTAATATAATTTATTTTAAAAAATTTTTTTGTAAAGAATGTATGTCATTTCTGTTGATTGTGTGTATATAGTCCACGCCTAAATTATAATCACAATATTTTAAGAGAGATCATATTTTTTCCCAAAATATTGCTCTCTCTTCAACTTGACAAATATATTTGTCACTCTGTTGCTTACTACATAAAACATATTATTTTGGAGGTAGTAAAAAAATCAGAAGAAAATTTTTTTGAGAGCCTTGGGAGAGCAAAAAATACTCTGTTATTGCCATTTTTAGAGATGATATTCGATTTTGAGGTTTTTTTTAAACTATTATGTATGTTTTTGTTTTACTCGCGACAATTTCTAGTAAAACCGTTTGCAAGTTCACTATAACTTTGCGATGAATTGACTCGATCCATTGTGGATTCGATGATATAGTAAACCATCACAATGAACTTTTTTGTATTAACGATTAATTTATTTTTAAAAATATATTAAAAAACATAATTGATAAAATAAAATAAAAAAAAACCAGAAAAAATACTGACAAGGGGCCAACACAACTATTAATTAATATGGGGATAAATCATAATATTATA